ACTCAGTATAATGCAGCTGTAATCTAATAGATATTAACAGCCTGAGAATGTACAGTAAGACCTTAATAATTCAGTATTGTTCGACTGGCTCCATCTGACTTGTAATTAGCACAGTGAGGGCTGTGCCTTTTGCAGTTGAGCAGCTAACTTCATCAGTTTAATGTTACTAGAAGTTTAAAACCATGACTTCCTGACAGGAATAGCCTATGACATTATAATTTTTTTTTAATTAAAGATATTTTGAATTGATGTGCAATACAACAAATTTTCATAAGGGGTGTAGAAAACCCCCAGCATTTTTTTTTTTTTTTAAAACAATTCCATTCTAGATTCTTATATACGTAACACATGCAGGTCATGCAGCACTCCTGGTATGGCCAAAAACTTTTGGATGTAGTTTTGGTTTACTCTGCCCAGATTCTCTTGTTCCTCTTCCAGGCCGAAGTCAGAAACCATGATGAGGAGTTGTTGCAACGTTGCCCACAATGGGCAGAAAAGGGGAAGGGTTACTCCACAGGTCTTAGGGTTTTACCTCGACGCACAGGCCTACCCTGGAGCTCCTCCGCGTGCACGTGCCTTGTGGACCCCTCCTAGTTGCCCCGGATAGAACCCACAGCCGTCCTTTCCAGGGCGAACAACGGAGCTGGTGGAGCAGGGAAACGGAAGGTAGTGATGGTTACGAGCAGGTGACTGGAGAGGGGGGATCCCACCCACCCAGGCTGTGGAAGAGCAATTGTTTTAGGTGGCAGTTACGGACAAGAAATGTTTTTGTCCCAGTACAGGGTTTACAAGCGAAGAAGGGCTAACAAGGGACATGGCTAGCAAGGCAAAATCTTGCATCTTTTGAAGGAATGTGAGTTTGTGCAGGTGAGTGCACCTTTTGTTTTGGTTTGTTTTCAAATTTAAGAAATAAAAGCTGGGCAGACTCCTTGCCCCCTGCCTCCAGTACCCTTCTGAAATGCTTGGAGTCTGGAGCGTGTTTCTTACACAGCCGCTAGCCTGGCCTGTGGGCGTGGGGTGTGCTGTGTGTTCCCAGACGCTTACCCTGTGGGCAGGGTGGGTGCAGGCTCTGTGAACTCCCTTAGTTTCTTTGCGCAGTACGAGATGCCAAGTTCCTACAAACG